TCGAGATGTAAGTATGCTTGTCTACAAGCGTAAAAAATTTAAGAAGGCTGTAGTCTAGGCTAGCACTCTTGGACTCTATCTGTATCTTTCATATTCTCTGCGTAACGATCTATGTTTCTTTAGTCGTATGGGTTGGTGGCGCGGTTGTTTTGTTTTTTTTTTCCCCCATTTTTGGGTGCACGTACAGTTTTTTGGGGAGGTCTTAGTATCACGCATGCACAGTCTTTTCTACGCAGGTGCACACTGCGTGATTGGTGAATTTTGCGAAAAATTGTTAATTTGTTTTTTTTTTTTTTTGTTTTTTGCAGTCTTTGTTGAACATGCCAGTGCAAATCCCCACCATTGAGCGTGCCATTCAGGAGCGTAATGCTATGTTGGACATGCCATCTTTTAGCCTCGGGTTGTCTCAGGATTGGCCTTCACAGCGGTGGGATGATGTTGTGGATGTGGCGCGCGAGTATGATGATGTTGCCGGGGTTGTTGATGTTACCCGAGTTGATCCGCCGGTTGTCCTTGAGAGTGACGTTGTTCCACTTGTTGTCCGTGATCGAGCTGTAAGTATGCTTGTCTACAAGCGTAAAAAATTTAGGAAGGCTGTAGTCTAGGCTAGCACTCTTGGACTCTTGGGTGTTTTTTGGGTTTTGTGCGATGTTGTCGTTGTGGTGATAGTACAGACATTGTGTATTGAAGGCAGCTTGTTTTTTTTTTTATGGTAGTGCGTTGTATTAGGTGGTTTGGTAAGTATGATGATGTCTTAGGTTGCTGTGTTGTTTATTCCTTTAGGCTGTCACATTATGTAAACTCTAGAAAGATATGCTCTTCAGTTGTACAGTTTTGGTTGGTTTCTTTGCCTTTTTGGTGTTGCTCTATAGTGGCACACGCAGTTAACCGTATGTGCACAGCTGTATCTTTCATATTCTCCCCGTAACGATCTATGTTTCTTTAGTCGTATGGGTTGTTGGCGCGGTTGTTTAGTTTTTTTTTTCCCCCATTTTTGGTTGCACGTACAGATTTTTGGGGAGGTCTTAGTATCACGCATGCACAGTCTTTTGTACGCAGGTGCACACTGCGTGTTTGGTGAATTTTGCGTTTAATTGTTAAATTGTTTTTTTTTTTGTTTTTTGCAGTCTTTGTTGAACATGCCAGTGCAAATCCCCACCGTGCCCACACATTTTGGTGGGCAGGTATGTGAACCTCTAGATGGCAATGTAACTGTTGAGGATGGAAGCCGAATTGGTTGTGGGCTGCAGTGTGTGACCCCTGTCCAGGTATTGGTCCTTCTTTAATTGTCAGCGCATTGTTTATGTTATGTTGGTTTTTTGTTGATAAATTTGTGTTCGTAGCCGGGTATGCTGCGAAGTGGGTCGGTGTTGGGTGCGCCTGTAAAGGTGAAGCGTCATCGTGGAGTTGGGGTTGTAGTTCGAGATGGTGGTACGAGTTTGATGTCTAGGTATTTGCCAACTCCCCTCGGAGACCATGTGTTTTACAATTGGGTTCTGGGCCACCCAGCTGCTAATATGTAAGCCTCTCGGTTCTCCGATTTTTAGGTAGTTGATGGTGTTTGTTGTGTTTAAATTAATGTTGTGTTTCTGTTTCACTTTAGTCATGAAGAACTATTCAACTTCAATGGGTGGGCTGCGACACGTGAGGATATGTTGTCATTGGCAGTTGGGTCTCAGTTGCGGGTGGCTGTAATTGATGTTTGGTGTTGCATTCTTAACGTTAGAGAGATTTATAGGCCCGAGGGTTCTCCTCGGAGGCTTTTTGCTGGGATTCAAACCACAGTATCTTCCCTTTTGTCCCTTTTGCCTTTTGTGTTAAATATAATGTAGTTAGCTATGTGGTTTAGAATTTTACTGTGTTCTTGTCCATTTCTGTAGCTCAATACAGTGGTGGAACGAACTCAGTCGCGTGCACGCCGGTTAGATTGGTTCTCCGAGAGGATGGAGATGGGATTGAAGATGTCTCCTTATGAGTCGTGGTAAGGTGTTGACATGGTATTCAAAATTGTTGGTTTAAGTTTTTGTTTTTGATGCTCATTTGGCGGTTTATAAGCGGTCTTTGGTTGTTATGGTCGTTTGTTTCGTATGTTGCACGTGTGCAGTTTATTTTCCCGATTCTACAAAGTGGGCACTACTATGTTATTAGTGTGGACATGGTGCGGAAACGAATTGACATAATTGACAATTCCTCGGTTAGCATGACTAATGTGGACAAGTATGGTGGGGCTCCTGAGGTGTTGGTATGTGGTTTTTAATCATTTGTTTTTTTTCACCCATGGTTCACTGTATGTCTATTATGGTGGGTGGTTATCCTGCTGTCCTGTCCAATACGGGTCACTCATATTTTCGTAAGTGCACACCTGTATCGTATGATTGCTGGTTGGACAGTATGGCACGCCCGTGTCTACCTGTGCGCACAGTTGTATTGACCCTATTGGTGCTTTATTCATATTATTAATTTAACCTTGTTTCGTTGTGGTGTTTTTGTTGTTGCAGCAAGATTTGTTGTCTGTGTTCCTTGATGATGAGGTTGATTTGCGCCATGGTGCTGCTGTAAGGAGGATTACCCCGAGAAGGATGCAAATGCGGTGGCGTGATGCTCGTAACAAAGTGGATTGTGGGGTATTTGCAATGCGGCATATGGAGTCTTTTTTGGGCCAATCGGTGAATGCATGGGATTGTGGTCTACAGAAGGGTGATACTCGGGGTCTTGAGTTGTTGAGGATGTCTTATATGCGGCAAATTTTGGCGAATGAGATTAATGCTCACCATTCGAAAAACATTCGTAGTGTAGTCCAATACCATGATGCAATTGATCAAAGATAGTTTATGGTTTATGTTTCTTAGCAATGAGTTGATTAGTAGTGTAGTTTAGTTCACTTGGGTATGTTCGGTGAATATGTTTTTTGTTACTGTGGCCTATATTAATTTATATTGGTTTTTTGCGTCTATTTTTCCGTTACGAGTGTTGGTTGTTCGGCCGTTACATGATGGCACACAAATTGGTAACCCAGTGCATATGCGCTTGAGTGCACCATCCGTGGTATGACACTAGTCAGAACACTTCATGATTGTAAAAAACATACTGGCACATACGGTAGAATGTGCGGGCACATAGGGTGTGGCGACCACAATACTGCACGTTATGGCACATAATTTTGGTATCTAGTGCACACAAGACAGTATTAACAATTCTTGGTGGTTGCATTTGGCAGAGTGGCACACACGTGTATTCTCGTGTACACAGTATTATTTCTGTTTACCAGTGGACAAGTTCTAGTGGTAACCATTCTTGGTAGGGGGTATTTGGCTGAATGACACAGCCGTATACTCTCGTGTGCACACTATTATCTATGTTCTTTGATTAGCGTATCAGCCTCGGTCCTCTGTTCATGTGCGGTGAATATGTTTGTTTTCATTGTTTTTGTATTCGAATTTTCTATTTGTTTTGGGCGCTTTCTCTTCACTTACGAGTGGTGGTTGTTTTGGCCAGTTATACTGACCACTCTTGCACGGTCTGACCGGAGTGGCACATCCTGTTTACTGTGCGTGCACCTAGGGGGTGGCTACAAGTATACAGCCCGTGGTGGCACACAAGTTTGGTATCCGTTGCATACATTATATTATTAACAGTTGTTGGTGGTTGCATTCGAAAGAATGGCACAAACGTGTCTTCTCATCCGCTGCTATGACACCAGTCAGAACACGTCATGCTCGTACAAAACGTACTGGCACATGCTGTTGACTGTGCGGGCACATAGGGTGGCTACAAGTATACAGGACGTTATGGCACACTGGTTTGGTATCCAATGCACAGAAGACAGTATTAACAACCCTTTGTGGTTGCGTTTGGCCGGATGGCAGACACACGTATTCACTTGTGCACACTATTATCTCTGTTTACCAGTGCACAAGTTCTAGTTGTGACCATTCTTGGTAGGTGTATTTGGCTGAATGGCACAGACGTGTATTCTCGTGTGCACACTATTATCTATGTTCTTTGGTTAGTGTAACAGCCTCGGTCTTCTGTTGATATGCGGTGAATATGTTTGTTTTAATTGTTTCTGTATTCGAATTTTCTATTTGCTTTTTAATCGTTTGAGTGTGTCATCCGTGCTCTGACACTAGTCAGAACACGTCATGCTCATTCAAAACATATTGGCACATGCTGTTGACTGTGCGGGCACATAGGGTGGCTACAAGTATACAGGACGTTATGGCACACTGGTTTGGTATCCAGTGCACACAAGACAGTATTAACAGCCCTTGGTGGTTGTGTTTGGCCGGATGGCAGACACACGCATTCCCTTGTGCACACTATTATTTCTGTTTACCAGTGCACAAGTTCTAGTGGGGACCATTCTTGGTAGGTGTATTTGGCTGAATGGCACAGGCGTGTATTCTCGTGTGCACATTGTTATCTATGTTCTTTGATTAGCGTATCAGCCTCGGTCCTCTGTTGATATGCGGTGAATATGTTTGTTTTTATTGTTTCTGTATTCGAATTTTCTATTTGCTTTTTAATCGTTTGAGTCCGTCATCCGTGCTATGACACTAGTCAGAACACGTCATGCTCGTACAAAACATATTGGCACATACTGTTGACTGTGCGGGCACATAGGGTGGCTACAAGTAAACAGGACGTTATGGCACACTGGTTCGGTTTCCAGTGCACATAATACAGTATTAACAACCCTTGGTGGTTGCGTTTGGCCGGATGGCAGACACACGTATTCCCTTGTGCACACTATTATCTCGGTTTACCAGTGCACAAGTTCTAGTGGTGACCATTCTTGGTAGGTGTATTTGGCTGAATGGCACAGACGTGTCTTCTCATGTGCACATTCTGTTTAATCGTTTGACTTGGTCCGCACTAGCTAGTTTAAGACTGAATGAATTAATCGATTCACGTGAACACATATATTGCTATGATAAAAGTTTAAGACAGAATGAATAAATTGATTCACATGAACACATATATTGCTATGATGAATGGAGTCAGTAGCTACTTATCTGTACACAAATACATCATTAAAGAATGTGAAGAAAAGAATTGGCAGTACATCAGTCAGGCACACGAGTCTAGTGTCAAGTGCACAGTTCGGTTTTCCTATTTGTGACCTGTGTTCTTCGTCCGTAACTCGCAGTTGCGACTATCATGGTGTGCGTATGTGTTGCAGGTCCGGCACTTTCTTACCCCCTTGGCTGTTAGTGTTGATGCAATCTCCTTTGTTGACTTGAAACGCTTACTAGAACCCTTGTTTTTAGCGATTGCAGGGGGGTGAACCTTGATGTTTGGTGATGAGGTGGACCCACAGATGCTACGTATGATATCGCTTTTTGATGCTCTAGTTTCGTCCTGGGGTATGCTTTCTGTTGATTTCTCTCTGTGTGCTTTTAGTAGGTGTGCCAGCTCAGTTATTTTGTCGTTATTACCGTATGCATACCCAACACACTTGAAGAACTCGTCAAATACGGTCCCCATTCCTGTAGCCCCGTCCACGTGTTCGGTCGAACCATTCTGGTTGGTGTTTGGGTAGATCTGTGTGTGATTCCAGCATGTGTTGCGTGACCATCGCGGTAATATATACTGGCTCGGTATTCGGTCCAGATTTGCAGCCTTGAATGCCAAGAACACATGTTTGCACTGTATCCCAATCCTATGGAACATATTGCATGTGCACTGTACTGTTCTGTTTGTAGAATTGTACTCCACTGAATATGTCGACTTGTTTAGGTCTTCTATATCAACTTTGAGGGTGCATCCTTCATTTGTTTTCTTAACAACCTGGGATGAGAAGCACGCGTCGAATATTTCTTTTTGGACATCGTAAAACACTTCGACAGTGTACGTTGTGGCGGCTTGACGCTCTAGTAATAATGGTGTTTTCAGCTCTGGGAATTTTCCCTCGCATTCTGCGTTTAGTTGCAATTGGTAGTGGCGTTGTTTGTATATTGCTTTCTCGAACTTTGTGAAGAACTCTGTTAAACTTAGGTGGGGGGAAGTGCATTTGCTGAATACGCTATTCTCCGACTCTGACCTTGATGTTGTTCTGAGTAAGCCAGCCATGAAAACGTCTTTGAAGAATACTGGTATCCATTGTGTACGTATCTCGAACAAGTGGTTAAACCATTTGTGCTCAACTAGATTATAATCCTTCATGACTGTTTGCCAAGCTGTTTCAAATTCTTCAATTGTTTGCAACTCATTCCAGACCACGTTGTTTAAGCTTGTTAGGAATCCATCACTCTTAGCTAATGTTGGCCCTACCTTCTTGCAAACCTTTGTCATGATGTGCCACATGCAGTATCTGTGGCGAGTTGTATCAAAAACTCTGGCTATTGCAGCTTTCATTGCAGGGTCTTGGTCGATAACTGTGCATGTTGGAACTTTACCCATTGCGTTTTTGAAGTGTTCGAGCAGCCAGGTGTAGGAGTCCACATCTTCTCGGGCGATTAGTCCTGCTGCAAATGTCACGCTCTTCTTGTGGTGGTCAACCCCGGTGAATGGCACAAACACCAACTTGTACCTACAGCCAACAAATCAAGGGGTGGGAGAATTTTAGTAGTTAGTTATTTGTATTAGTAGGATTAAACCACAAAGCAGCAAATCCTAGGCATGTGCACACATTGTCCTACGCAAAGGCATAGCAGGCTAATCTGGTGTTTGTTACACGGGAGGCACACCCTTACTGCCTTCTGGGCACACACGTTCCCGGTAGCCTTCAGTGGCTGTTGTGTTTTCAAGTATGGTATTCGGCAGTCCTGTGCCAATTAGGCACTTGCAGGGTGCATCTATACACACTGGTTGAATGTACGCACCCAGATCTACAACGGTGCACACCGAAACCACCTCAATGGCACATACATACACATTCTTTTTTGCGTATCAACATCAATTAGAGCATACACGTGGCGAAGATATTGGGGGTTACCTGTTTGTACCGTATGTGGCGTCGAATGACATAGTATCACCGAATATGTTGAAATTGTGGCGTGCCTGAGGATCCGCCCAAAATATTCGGCACAGTTGGTCTAGCTCGTCAACATCGTGTGCAAAATAGAAGTCAGGTGACGCGTTTTTTTTCTCTGTATACTTATCAATCACTAGTTGGGCATCTGTGTCTTCTATATATGCCATTATATCTCGTTTGAAATTACCAAAATCTGTTATTGTTGCTCCAACATTCTCAAAACCTCCTACCATCTCTTCGTATAGTGTATAGCTCTTGCATGACCCGATGTTTGCGTTTGAGCAGTTGATGATGAAATTTTGGTGACCAAGGTCAAGTTTTCGATTTGCCTTCATGAATGGTCTAGAAATGGGTGTGCATAATGAATGGGTGTGGCGTTCCTCTATTGAGTTTACCTCAAAACTGTCACCATCTAATCGCTTGAATACTATTTTTGCATTGCACCCCACTCTGTTTGTGACACGGCGCCTTTTCGTTGTGTTCTTGTGATCAGTTGTCAGTATGCCTATGCCATCCCCATCGCCCGTAGGAAGTTTGAAGCCTGCACGTGAGCACAACACATACTTCCATGTGATCTTTCCATGCGGGTCCCTTTTCTCGGATGCACGACGCACGTCAAAACCAGTACTTTTTGCGTAAGTATGGTAAAACTGAATTGCAGCTTCCAAACTAGTAAACACTTGACCCGCGAAAGGCTTCTTTGTGGCTTCACACTCTGGAGTCCAGTACTTCGTTGTGCCAGGAGAGATGTTGATAACACAGCCTGTTGAGCAGGGTTCATCTGTAGAGCAGTGAAAAGTTATTAATACAGAATGTTGGAAGCCAGTTAGGGGCTTTGGTTTGAGCCATTATGCACCCCTATTGTGGCGTATAAACCAGGTTGGCACATTCGCTAACACGTAGAGGCACACACGCCGTATCTGTAGCAGATATTTGGGTTTCGTCCCTAATTGGCACGTATCTGATCACATATGTGCACACATGCGACTCTGTAATTACGAGCGTAGGGTTCATACAATGCCCCGGAATTGTACAGTAAAATTAGTCGGCACACAGCAGGGGGTGGCGTTTCCGTCTGTGCACTTTAGTGCCGCACGGTGTGCCGTTCCACTCATCTGCCGGATTGCATTACAGAATTCAGCAGTTCAAGTTGTATTTAATTCAACAATCGGATGACAAACACCGTAATGGGGTTTCAGGGTACTTACTTTCGTTGTTGTTTGTTTCCGCCATTGTTTCCGGTGAATTTCTTTGTCGTTTCACGTTGGTTGCCTGGCTTGGATGCAGTTGCCGGAATTCGCAGTGTAGCGTTGGAATGGGTGTGGACAGCGTGTAATTGGAGGCCGGATGAATCGCTGAATTAGAGTCCCAATATATTCCTTCTTGTTGGCCTAAATTCTAGGGATCTTATTAGAGTTTTTATTTAATTCAAAATTGTTAGGGTGCTAAAATTACTCTTAAAACCTTTTCTATTCTTTTTATTAATAATTATTTGACTTAGATCCAAAGGCTGTGATGGGTTCTTATGTTCTCACCTATTAAGTGGTTCCTACATGAAGGCCACCCTATATATATATATATATATATATATATATATATATATATATATATATATATATACATACATACATACATACATACATACATACATACAGGTGTATGATAATAATGATAGAATTATGAAACTTTTAGAATTAAATAGCAATTGTGTAATAACGGTGTAATGGTATTTTAGTCTAACAAAAATGTAGTACAGATAATTTTATTCATTATATTTGAAGTGTGCAATATTTAATGAAAAATGTATACCCTTATTAGCATACAAATGTAAATATAGACATGAATGTGGGTATAATTTAGTGGGTAAAGCTCTTAATTTATAACCAAATGAGTAAGGGTTCAAACCTCACCTTAAACATTTAATATAATATATATCTATTAATAAAAAAATAAAATAAAAAATCGATCGGTTTTTCGGTTCGGTTCGAATTTAACCCGAACCGAACCGATCAGTTTCCTCAAACTGAGGACCGATCGGTTCTTCGATTTGAAGCCGAACCGAAATGCCCAGCCCTAGTTACAACAAAACATTTTAACAAAATTCTTATTAATCTCAATTATGCCATTTTATATCATATAAATATAAATACATTATTATATTAACTAACTTTATAATATTATATATTATACTACAGATAAATATTTTTTTAAAAAAATAAGTTTAATTAAACTTGCGAGTTATTCAAGCCCAGTAATAAGAAGCTCAAATTCGACTAGACTAGATTCACCAAGTTGTCAATCGCCCAGCAATAAGAAGCTCAAATTCGACTAGATTCACCAAGTTGTCAATCGGCCTATTACGTACTCCCATCAATATATGTATTTCATAAGGAAATTTTTATATAAAATTTAGTCACAAAATTTCAGTCACGATACTCAACAAATTAAAAAAAAAAAAAAAAAAAATGGTAGTGTAACACTCACATTTTTCTTAAAATTGATTCCCTTCCATAAAAAAGGGTAAAAAAGCTCTCTAAAAAAATTATAGTTGAGGCTAATTAAAATCTAAAATAATTGGGTAAACTTTAGGGATAGGTGTGGGTTCAATTCATGTGATACATGAATTTTAGGTCAAGAATCTTGATATATTACGTTCGGGAGTCTAGCCTAAATGTGTTGCTGTTTAAATATGATCTCCAAGATTGCAGAAGCACACTTGAAGGAAGGAAATTCATAATAATAATAATAATAATAATAATAATAATAATAATAATAATAATAAATCAGATGAAATTACAAAGCACATTTCCAGAATATCATTCTTATAATGCATATATAGAAAAAGCATCATTCTTAAGTAAACATAAAGAGGCAATTAAGTAAACATTCTTACAGAAAATGTAGTCTTTCTTCGTAGACTCGAGCATATAGTGCCTCACCACGAAAATTATTGCGTTCCCATTCTTCTGTTATATCAATATTCCTTTCGTTGTAAACTTGAAAATCTCCGGCGGTTGGATGTGAAGCCATAGTAATACTTTTCCTTTCTTTACTTACGGAGAACATCTTCCTTTCTTGAGTTACCAAATTCACAGATATGAAGTATGGTGGTACACCTCTTTCAACATACTCTGAATCCGAATCCCAATCCCAATCATCCTCAACTCTCTTGAATAGATATACAAGCAATTCACCATCCAAATTCCAAATTCCCATTGGAATCCAAGATTCATTAATATCTACAACACAATCTATGCTTGCTTGTTTATGCCAATAAGTATTGTTGTCATCTCCCATCATTAACCAAATGTCAAAGCTACTAGAATCCCCCACACTTGAGATTAAAGCAATAGTGTCATTCATTATTGAGATTGAAGGGATAATAATATCCGACCGCAACTCAATCCTCCCAAACACCTCATCATTCATGTCAAACCAAATCAAGTATAGATTGCAAGGTTCATCATGGTACCTTTCAGTACGCCAATAATACCTCCCTTTTAAATAAAAATCATTGCTCTCACCCTCGATATCACGACAATGTATAACCGGATCAATCTGTCTCAAACTCCAAGAATCGCCATGAACTTGACTATAAACTAGTGTGATTTCGTTAGTAGTTCTACCAATATCATCTTTAGAACAAAATTGTACTAGCATGACAACCTTCCAAGTCATGTCATTAGAAATCCCAAACCCAAATTCATTAAGAACAATGGAATCATAAGGTGGTTGGTAAGGGATAGTAACAGAGGGTAAGGCTTTAACTTTCCTAATGGATGGGTTACATATCCAAATGTCATAAATAAGGTAATCACCACGAACAAGTTTAGTAATATCATTCCGGGTTGAAATCAAGCATAACATACCTTGACAACACTTAACCCACTGTCTTGGGGTTATTGGGTTGTCTAAGTATATGCATCCAATCTCATTATACTCAGATGATTCTTTGTGAAGCAGATAATATTCTCTACCAACCCAACCAGTCTCTAAAAGAACACAATCGGTTTTTCCTTTGTGAATTCCATAGTGTGTGTCCATGAAGTGGCGATCACTAGTTATCAAATCATAGAAAAATTTACAAACATACTTAAATCGCACAAGAGATTTTACCGGTAATCTCAATAAGATATCCACCATCAGATCCGTTGAGAACTTGCAATTTTCCATTTTCAGGTCGAGATTGAGTTTGAAAGATGGAAGAATTCAACGCTTCTTGCAATAGGGGAAGGATGTGCCTTGAATCGTCAATATACAGTACAGTAATCGATCTGCAGCAACATCAACGGCGGCAAGTCGGCAACCTAGTGGCGATGACGGCGATATATATGAGAACACAGAATATAGGGTTTGGTGGGTTGAAGACTTGTATTTGAGAGTGTGCAAGTATGTCTGTATATATATATATATAATTATTGAAGATGGCCCAAACCAATCAAATTATATTGTGCATCCGTATGCACCAAGCATGGTGCATACAGATGCGAAAACGACCTCGTTTTAATAAAACGCGCTTCTCCCCTTAAAAAAAAAAAAAATCAGGTTCGAAACTATAATTCCATAATCGATGAACTATAATTCCATAATCGATGAACTATAATTTCATAATCTAATCTATGAACTAAAAATTTCAGAATGAATGAACTAAAATTCCAGAATCTATGAACTAAAATTTCAGAATCGATGAACTATAATTCCAGAATCGATGAACTATAGTTCCATAATCGATGAACTATAATTCCATAATGAATGAACAACATAATGTTGTTGCTAGGAATCGAACCTAAATTGTTTTTTTAAAGAGGAGACGCGCGTTATGGAATTATAGTTCATCGTTTTTGCATCTGTATGCACAGCATAACTATTCTCAACTGAGTATGGGATGGCCTGCTAGAGACAGTCCAAACACTATAAGTCTCATAGTTATGACATATTGCCTTGCGATGGACCCGAGTCAAAATACATGCACAATATACATACTGAATATTCATAATTTATATATTAAATGTTTGTAATTCAAATTGTGAATATTCAGTATGTAAATTGTGAACATATAACATATAAAATTATGAACATTCAATACGTAAATTATTAATTTTTAGACACTGGTCTACCTTGCAAGGTAGACATGGGTACACAGAATAATTTGCCCTATAAGTCAGTAAATCATATTATAGACCAAAATTTACCTTACACTGTGGAGTCTAATCTAAATGATATTTAAATTATGTAGTTGTAATTAACATATTATGTGTTCATAAATAAACTGAAGGTAAATAATTATTTGCACTCACATAAACATCTTAAACATCCCATCAAAAAGTTCAAAAATTGATAAATGACCAGCTATTACAGGTCATTAGTGTTCCGGCATCAATTTTATCACCTCCGACAACCGGCGACAACCGAATAGTCACCAATTATCGTCTATCAAGAAAGCGACCAACTCGCCATCTCCAACGGATGGCGACCACTAGTCAACTACTGTCTAGGATGACCACGGTTCGGTTTGAATCATTTAATTCAAACCGAACCATGTACTGTAATAAGAACCAAACTAAATCGGAATCGTAAGAATAGTTCCGGTTCCAACCCGTATAAAAATAAAAATAAAAATATATAAATATGTTTAATTTAACTATTATCTTATTAAAGTTTAAATAACAAATATTTCATTAAAATTTAATATTAACGAGGCAAGGTAGTGGTCAAATAATGTCCAAGGGAGAGTGTTGTAAATAATATTAAGTGAACATTATTATAGTGTTTATAACACTTGTAACGGTAGGAGGTTTATGACTACACTTATGGTTTCCGTTACAATTGTACATTATATATATGTGCTTATACCTTCTTGTAAAGTTGATGTTTTGAATGCATGATTAATAAAACTCTCTCATTTACCTTGTCTCTACTTTTCTTATTTTGTGCTGCTTGCAACTGTATTTTTACCGATTAGGAGCTAAATGGCCAACAGGCGTAATCTCCCACAACAAATAACAATTTCTTTTTTTTAAAGGTAAATAAACCAACTCAAACATTATATTAACGAACTCAGAAAATCAGGGGTACATCATACCACTCAGAGTGAACAAGTCTGGCTCCCTCAACTTTAGTTAAAGCGTGAGTATCTTGATTACTACTTCTACATATGTAAAAAATGAAAAATACTTCATGTACTCTCAATTTTTACTCTCACTTGTGTCTAAATTTGATTGGAGGATGAAACAAAAAAATGAATAAACATCGTGGCCCCTATCAAATTGAGCAATTAAAGCATGCCAAACTATAAGAAGTACAAATGAGAGCATGAATTGAGAGTACATATAGAACTATTTTTTAAAAAATACTACTAGTACTATATCTAATGACTAATAATACAAAAATAATCAAATAAATAAATAACAGTTATTTGATTATTAAAGTTTAACTATTATTTCATTAAAATTTTAAATAACAATTATTTTTGAATGTTACTGGCTTTCTCAACATACTGAAACACAAAGAACCAATAATGCATCCACTAAGGCTCGAACACACAACCTTCCAAATGGAAGTCCAACCCGGGTACCATTAGACCATAACCATATAATCCTGATATTATTTTTATTATTTAGTTTAACTTTAAAGTATAAATATTTTTTTGGTCATGAGGTATTTTGATTGAAGGGAATTGCAATTTCATACATTTAAGAAATTGAAATTCAATGACCCCATTGGAATTACAATTCAATGGTAGTTTGGAAAGGGAAAAATATGAAAATGATTAAATTGTTCTTGATTGTTATTATTATTACTACACAAAAGGACATTTTAGTTTTTATATCACATATTTTCTTCTCATTTCCAATAATTATATTCCTTCTTACCAAACAATCTGTATGATATATGTGCGATTCACGACCTGCGAATTTGAAATATTTAGATTATTTTCATATATCGAGCTTTATTCATTTATATTTTTGTTATGTAATAGTTATGTTGATTTGATATGAAAAAGTTATGAATATAGATATTTGCAATTTAAAAAAAAAAATTGATATTTAAGATGGATTATTAGTTAAAAGAAAAAAAAACGTCATTAAAAGTTCAATACAAAGTATTTTAAATTAAAAAATTACTAAAAAAAAATTGGTAATTATATTAGTATAGTAGTTGAAGCACAATTATAGGATGACTATGTTGTGACAATTTGGGGGCCACTTATCTTTGTGCCTATTCCGTTTTTCATGCACAGACTAAGCATGTAGAGGTTGATTATCACTTTGTGGTTGACAAAGTGGCATCGGGCGAGCTTCAAGTCAATTTCATTTCTACTAAAGATCAACTTGATGATATCTTTACGAAGCCGCTACCTGCCCCGTGTTTTGAGTTTCTTCGGGACAAGTTAAATGTTGTGTCTCTCCAATCTTGAATTTGAAGGGGTGTATTAGAACTATACTATTAGGGTGTGTTTGAAAACCTGGATAATGATTTCTGCCAGTGTTTGGATGTGCCTGAAAAATCAAGTCAACGGAAATCATTTTCCGTTGACTTTGGAAAATATGATTGTTTTGGAGGAAAATGACTTCCCCTTTTTGGGGGAAGACATTTTCCAACTTTTACACCAACATTACACCACCACTAGTACCACCATCAACACCATACCACCACCACCTCACTACCATCACCACCGCCGCGGCCACCCCGCAACCACCACCAGTCCACCACCACCACCATACCACCGCAATCACCACCACCACCACCACCGTCAACACCGTACCACTACCACTACCACCACCATCACCACCACCAGTACAAGACCACACTATCATCACCACCATCAGCACCACCATCATACCACCGTCATCACCACCATACCACCGCCACCAAACCACCACCACCACTACCATCATCGTCATACCACCACCTGGCCAGTTATTATTATTATTATTATTATTATTATTATTATTATTATTATTATTATTATATAACAAATAACACCACTACCACTACACCACCACCGCCACCGCCACCACAACACCACTGCCACCACAACACCACCACCAGTTATTATTATTATTATTATTATTATTATTATTATTATAATATAACAAATAACACCGCTACCACCATTATCACTATACCACTACACCACCACTATACCACCACCACCACCACGACCATACCACCACTACTATACCACTTATTATTATTACTAGTTTTTTTACGAGTATTGCGCTATTGGGATAATGCCCAATGTTTTTTTTAAAAAATAAGTAGTTTAAAGTATATCAAGGCAAGATTATATTGGAATTGTTCATGCATAGATAATTGAATGTTAAATTTGCGTATTTAAATAGGCAATTCTAAATTTACAAATGCAAGATAATATAGTCAAGATTGATTATAATTGTCAATGAAATAATTCTATA